AGTTAATGCAACATTTTGTGCATGATATATTGCGTATTGCATGGAAGGTCCAGAAAGATAAATTATAACAGGCCCTTTGTCTAATTGGATAAGCCTGTTGGTTAATATGCAAGTAAAATGTTTTTAAGCACTAGGTTTGAAGTGTCACTGGTTTTGAGTCTCACTAGAAACAAATTATACCTTCATTTGTTTCTTGTTTGCACACATGGTTTTATCTCGGTATTTGGATTAGCATGATTGTCTATCACATTTTTAAATTATTTCTCAACATTTAGGGTTGCATCCAATATGCCTTCCGACTATTCTAATATGGGGTTCAAAAAAAGGCTACACTCGATAACTTCTAAGAATATACATCATGACATGCAATCAAGTAAATTATGTGAGTAAACATGAAACATTCAATTTCTCACCTCTACAGTCCAGTTCAAACTGTGAACTGTTTTGTGGACTTATACCAGTAGCATACAAACCTGCATTTTGGTTTTTTGGGAAAGAACTTGTTGAGTCATATCCTTCCTCCTCTATTTTATTATCACCCATCATCAAATTTAAGACTTCTTGCAAATTGCTTCTAGTGAAAAACTTGATTTGGCCTTTTTCCGATTTTGATTATTCCAGATCACTGAAAAATACAAAACCCTTACATTTTCTTCAAACTTTTCAACAAATGGCAACTAGTATTGATCTTATATTTTAGATTTAAGTCATTATTTAAGTATAGAGCACTTTCAATCCAAAACATTCTTTAATATCACAGCTTCTATTTTTGTAGAGATAAGAGGCACACATATAATTTGAAGCTATTAAATGTGACTAGAGCCAGTGTTTTAAAGGCGATGCACCTTAGCACCTCAAGTGCTTAGGCGAGGTCAAGGTTTTAAATATCGGTTATCGGGGATTTATCAAATGGCCAAAATCCTCATCGGATAGTGAAAATCGGGGATAAGTAGTATTTATCGGAGTGATATACCGTATGATGTATATATATAATATAATACCCCAAATTATAATCTAACCATACTCCCCTTTTTCATTCTATCAACCTTCACTAAATAACTAGAGAAAAAAACCAACTAAATAGTGAATATTATTTATTGCTACAACTTTAGAAGTTGTGTTGATGGCGTGACGTCAATTGAGAGTCCAAGCCGAATTGTCGAAGTCACAGTTGATGATGGCGTCGATGGGGAGAGCTCGACATCGATGGAGATCTCAGCATCGATCAACGTCGTCGAGTCGATCAGTTGATGGCGTTGATGGAGAGCATATAACGTCAGTCGAAGTCGTCAAGTCGATGAAGTTGACGTCGATGAGAAAGCAAGGTCGAATGGTCGAAGTCGATAGCGTTGAGGTCAGCATAGTCCGAAGAGAGCGGGGGCGAGCGTCGAAGTCGGCGGAGGCGAGGGTCAGAGTCGACGGAGTCCAAAGAGGAACGGAGATCAGAGGATTAAGGCAGTGAGCATAGCCGCACAAATGAGGGGAGAGAGAACGGAGGATTAGGGCTACAGAATCGGATTTAAGTTCTATTATAAAGAATTGGATCAGATCGGGTTTCAAGTTCACTCAAAAACTGCCCATTACCCAAAATCACAATCCAATAGTGTGGCCCGATAATTCCGATTTTTAGAACCGCTAATATCGGTCAATAATCAACTTTGTTGTTGCATTATCGCCGATAAACCCAACAAAGAATAACCTATTTAAATTTCAACTTATCCTATCGGAAAGCTCCCAAAACCGATAACTCGAGGATAATATCGGATCATCGGCCGATATTTAAAACATTGGGTGAGGTGATGTTCTAACTTAGCGTTTTACGCATTGCTAGTCATTTAAGATTACTAAGGCGAGCACATTTTAGCACCTCAAAAGCTGGCCTTAGTGCCTCGTGACCTTGGCGCCCCAGGTATGACTCTTGCCTAGCATGTGATGCAAGATGCATGGTGTTTTGTCTCCGATTCAGAATTTTGAGGGTGTGAAAGGTGTCCGATAAAGTAAAGTTTATTTTTGTTATTGAATTTTTGTGTTACTTTTTCCTTCGGCAAATTTTTACTTTTTAAAATTGTAATGTACTTTATTACCAATATTATCTTGATGAAATTACTTTAAAGTTCGAGATTTGCTGCTTAATAATCTGTGTTAGCAGTACTAGTCATTTTCATTCGCACTAGTGAGAGAAGTTTTTGTTGAGCAGTTTACCCAGTTTCTAATACTTGATATTCAACATTTTGGAGACTTCAGATATAAAAACCTTTCTTTGATACAATTTCTTAAAGATTTGTTTGAGATTATACATGTTAAGCAATGCACATCACAAGCAACTACAAGTTTGTAAACTTATGTATGCCTCAGCTCAGTGAGCAAATATATTGCACATATATCTTTATGAACTATCACTGAGTTTCTTTCAGTAAATGCATCTAATTATAAACTTCCTGAGTATTCATTCTCCATCATAAATAACAGGCCTTCTCTACCATCAACACAAAATTTCTTTAGCCCCTACAAAGGTTTCTCAAGCTTGCAAACATGATCTTCAACAAATATAACTCATATCCACCATTCTTCTATTTGGCCGGGAAACCAATTCCCAGGCTTGGTGTTTGTGAAGCGATGGAATCACGTCACTTGTAACAACAGTCCACATATTACTGATATCTTCATAAAAATTAGTCCATAGAGATCAATGCATAAGCCACTAAATATATCTGTCAGTATATGCTCCTCGGCCTACTAATTTCCTTACAATGTGGCAGAACTGTGTTTCGTTGCGCTTATGCTTACCTACTCACTGATTCATGTAGCTTTTCCTGAATATTTATTGATTCATGTAGCTTTTCTTGAATAGCCTAGGTCACCTGGACACTGGACACTTCATCTAGGCTCCCGTATCCGTGTCTGTGTCTGTGTCTGGCGCTCCTTGGACATTTCTTGAATATGTACATACATTTTTAGACGTATCTTTAATTATATAAGACGTGCTTTAGTTCAAAATACTTGTGATACACTTCTGGAATTATGTTACACTTCACCTCAATTATGGTACTCACTAGACTTGGGACATGTTTCTTTTAGCACATACCTAGTGTCCGTGTCCGCATTCATGTCCTTGTAATATAGTGAATAGCTCTACTTTAACATTTTTTAAATTACAAGAATGCTCCGAAAACAGACCCTTTCGGGTATTATCTTCTTTTGTGACCTAAAAATCAGGCTATGGCTTCTTTACTAAAGTTACACCTCTACTGATAAATACATTTGTGTGTGAGAGTAATGCTTGGTTGATATTTTGAGCCACTTTACCCTACTACAAGAAGGATGCGTAAGAATTTACAATTTCTTTGTCCTTGTATCAAGCTTTTCCTCATTAATGTAATAACATGAAGTGGGACTAAAAGGATTTAGTCAAAGTACTTAATATATGCTTGGACATGAATAAACAACGGTTTGCTAGTCAATAGGTTTAAGTATAGACCAGCTATGAAGTAGCAAGCAAGCAGAGTCGACTGCTTAAATCTAACGGTTTGTCACTAAAGATTAGATGCCAAGCTCTTTTGGACAGTAAAGTTCTGATAGTTTCTTCTATGATCTCCGTCCTCCTGTTGAGTTTCTAGAATTTCATGCATAAAATTTTAGTGTTATTGAAATCTGTACCACTTATTGTCTTCACCACATCATCACTCATCTAGTCATCTTGATTCAAATGGAATAAATTTTGGTTCTCTTGCACATCTTGTTCCCCACGAAGACATCGCCATCAACCTACTCATATTTTTTGGAGTATTCTCGGGTGATTTAGTGTAGATCCAGATCAAGAGCCATTCATGACTTGGGAACACAATTTGGAACCTTTTCACATAATTCCCTTTTCTTGTTCCAGCATCCTGTGATTTATCTTTTATCGCCTTTTTTTTTCTTTGAGGGGTCAAGTTGTGTTCCGCTTTCTGACAATAAGCTGCTAAATTTTTCTTAAGGAAACTCATTTTTTCATCTGTTTTAGATAGCCATGTTTTAAATGTTCCTTTTAGTGTGATGATAATGGCACTGGGTTTTTTTTAACTAAATATTCAATCCCCCTTCTCCCCTAGTTTTTAATTTTCTTGAATCTCTATCAAATCAACCATTGTCTTAGGACCACTTAACCCAAGAGCATAAGAAAAATAGCCATCATATGTGCAATTAGTATTGTCCATCTCCTCACCCATTTTCTATGAGACGCAGACCCCATTCCTCATGCCTAGCATGACACCCTGAGTATTGCATCCGAAAAAGATCTCAGGTTTTGTGGACTAATGCTGGCTGGGTGTAAATTGTACTAGTGAAAGCAAAAACCTGGCATGTGCTGGGTACTGATGTTTATCTGAGCAATTTTAACCTTTGATACTCCCTACAACATGGGTGTACCCCCATGTGGAAAGGCTTCGACATAGACATGACTTGGCTTAACTTAGATCACTTTTAAAAGTTTTGATTGATGATGGCCTGTTGATGGTGTAGGTGGTCTTATTTTCTATAGTTCATATTGTCGTAAGAAAAATGTATGAAGTGAGAAGATCTGACTACTGGCTAATGATGACTTGTATTTTGATTTATCATATCTTTTTTCGTTTAGGTACCGTTTGGCAAAGGGTTAAGTGAGAGGTTAAGGAGACTTAACCCCTTCTTAACCCGCCAAACATAAAAAATATATACAAGGGTTACAGTGAGTTAACCCTCCATAATTTGTCAAACATAAAAAATATAGAAGGGTTAAGCTAACCCTTTTAGAGGGATTAAAATGAGTTAACCCCTCAAAATGAGGGGTTTACTAATACTCCTTTTTAGAAGGATTAAGAGTTAACCCTTCTAATTATAAAGAAAATAGTCAAAATCATTGTTATTCCCAAACATTAAAACTGATCACAAGGACTAAAATAAAACTTATATAACGGGTTAATAATTTAGTCCTTCAGATTATCGAATGGGCTAACTATGTTAATCATTCTCCTTAATCCTTCTTCATTAACCCTTTGCCAAACGGAGCCTTAGAGTTTACTTGATGAGGCTCAAAAATAGGTTTAGATTTAGATAGATTTACGTTTTATCTTTCTATTATACTGTTTGGATTTTAATTGTATTAGGATTAGACTGAGTTTGTTTAATTAGTTTTATAGATAAGGTTGCATTGTGTTTAGAGATGGGGTTTGTTTTGAAGTTGTTTTAGATAAGAGTTCTAAACTCTATTGACGATGGACAGATTTCTTGTATGTCAGCAGAGATTGATTGATTTGAATCAGAACCGAGCTATTTTGTTACTTTCCGTGTTAAATCTCAGCGCTTAATTTAAATCGAATCCAAAGTCTTCAAAACAATCTACGCCCTCCACTTTAACTAGAACCCTGACACCATCTCAGAAGTCCTTTCGTCTTGTTTTCCTTATCTGCTCACGTAAAACAGAGAAACGCCAAAGCTCCGACCTTCAACCCTTCGCCTTCATCCCCTGCTCGCTAACAATTCCAACTCCAGAGCCCTCACCTCGTCCCTGCAATCCCAGACCTCTGCCTCAAGCCCTCGACTTCCTCTTTTTCTCTGTTTGCAGTCCACGCAGAGCCCTCGGAAGAAGTTCAATTTAATACTGCTGCTTCTTGACTTCATAGTGTGAGAACTTTTCCTGTGCCTCTGGTTTAATTGGGACTTGCTCTTTATGACTATGAGTTATGCTTGCATCTAAGTTTGTTAATTGTAAGTTTATAAAGGTCATTATTCATTGTAAATTTTCCGCTCATCTTTATGTTAATCTACATTGCATTGTTTGAGTTTTAGCTGAGTCACTTTTTCTAGAACCCGATAGATTGTGCTACCTCATTACTGCAACTGTATTTACTTTCAATTTGTAATAAGTGCTTTTCAATATTTTTGTTGGTATGTTGTATTTCTATCTTCAAATCTGGCCTTGCTTTGCTGAGACCTTTCCTCTGGCCTTTCAGCGAATCGAATCCAAAAGTCTGTGAGTTGACAGAGCAGCCTATGCCAGATGCCCAAGGAAATGACAGAAGTGAGTTTGCCGACATCATATCTGAGGTGGTTAGGAACATGAGAGTTCCCGCGGTCGTCCTGAATGTGACTTCAATGGGGGCAGTTCGGAGTGATGCTCACATTGGAAATTGGAGCCATCCTGTGGCCAGTTTTGATTGTAGCCATTGGTGTCTCCCTGGAGTACCTGATGCTTGGAATGAGCTTTTATTCTCCTATTTGCTGACTGACGGTGAGGCTTCATTCTAGAGTTCTACTAATTGTTACTGCAAGTTAGTTGACTATAGTATGCATGTGAATAAAACAACCATAAAAAAAATTGTCTCACAGGGCAATAGGGTAAACATTTAGTTAATTCATTTCTCTTACCAAATGGAGGAGAAATTCGAAATCTAAAATTTTGTTGGACTTGATCACCATGTTGACTTTCTCAAGGAGAATTATTTTTACTCCTTTTTTTTTTAAATTAAGACTGGTCATCAAGCTAATTTTTATTTTTATTTTTTGTTCTATTAAGTGATGATAGGAAAGAAAAAAACATGGTTAATGAAGAGGAAAGCATATCATTGGCATCTAATAGTTCACCTTCAATACGCAAAGCATTTAATTTTTCAGTAGAGCAATATGATGATGCATAGTATGGCTCGGGTATTTTCATATCTTCATCTACAATATTGATAATTTAATTATATCATACTACCTCTAACCTGTGAGCCAAAAAAAAACAAAGCGTACACCTACAACAAACTACAACAACAACAAAGCCTTCATCGGATATTTTTTGGTTCAGCTACAGGAATCATATTCTTCCATTCAGCTAGTGATGTCTCCCTGCAGGTGCTATAGTACTTGTCTATCTGATTTAGCTATAATCGATCTCTAGGTGAATATTAGTAACTGCATAGCCATTGAAAAAAAAATCAAATAGTGCTACGCATGACTGTTAATACATATATTTGATGCCTGTACATTATATGATTATGTGCAGGGTGGTGATATTTGGGAAGATTGGGAAGATAACAATGGTTCTTTGGATGCTATTTTTTCATTTATTTATTTTGCATCATAGTTTTTTTTTTTCTCTTTTTTTAAAAAAAGATTTGTTACGGATGCTGACTCAGGCACATCAATTCTTTCGGAGGTCTTGCTAGTTTGCTGCAATATCATAGTTGTAGCTTCATGCGTTCACCTTTTTTCCCCCTTTACCTTTAGAAGAGAAAGGACATATATTCGATCACTGCGTATCATATGAAGGTTGTTATATCAATATCAGTTTTTCTCATGTATACATAATTTTTTTTTAAAAAGGAAATATAATTGTGCTAATTGCAAGATGTTCTGTGATGTGCAATTGTGTTCTTGAACATGAGTGTGTCCCAGTTCAGATGTGATAGAAGAGTTGCAGCGAAGAGCCTTGATATTTATTTAGTGAAGAACTTTGACCTGCTCTCTTGCAGCTTGATTTGGCCCACGTAATGAAGTACGAGAGGAGGCTAATGTTGAACATCAAGTGTTTCTTTCTTGCTCAGAATATTTTTTTGCCTGTCATTTTATTACCAACATATTTTGTTGTTTTGTTTATCATTTTCTGTATCGACATGTCATTGTATGTTCGGCAAATATATCACTCATTGAAGAAACATAATATGTGTTGAGCTAACAAGTGTGGAGGTTTGGCGAATTCTTTCTTAAGAGAGAAGCATCATGACGTGGCTGAAATACGAGCGAAAGTGGCCAAGCCTGAATACCACCCCAACGGTCATAAGCACAAAGGAAAATTTTTTAGCTTCCGACGTGACACAAGAACTTGCACAATAAAACAATAAAAATAAGAATAACAATTGTGCAAAGAGCTTTACTACAAGGATCCAAAATATGTGATCAACGGGGGACATGTGAGGTGTCCTCCTCCTATTGCATAATGAGCTGACCATCAATGATGGTCAGCTCATTATGTAGTAGGAGGAAGATATCTCACATATCCCCCTGTTGATGTAATATTTTGGGTCCTTGGGAAATTTTTCTTGATACAAATTAGAAAATTGCAACCGCTCTGAAACTTTTAGGTGGCGTTTGGTTGTTTGCAACTAGAGTTGCAATGCAAGTGTCACTTGCATGCAACTGAGACGTTGCAACTCTTCTTACATGCAACTACAGTTGTAATTGTTTGGTTTAAAATTTAAATTTTATAACTTATAGTTGCAGCTGTTTGATTATGCTTATAACTTAACATATGCAACTCATAAAATATTTTTAAAAAATAATATTTTTTAAAAAGTAATATATTTTTAAAAATAATATATTTTAAAAAATAATATATTTTAAAAAATAATATATTTTTAAAAAAATAATATATTTTAAAAAACTAATATATTTTTAATAAATAATATATTTTTAAAAGTTAATATAATATTTTTAAAAATAATATAATATATTATTTAAAATATATATTATTTTTAGAAAATTATATTATTTTAAAAATACATTATTCAAAAAACATATTATTTTAAAAATATATTGTTCAAAAAATATATTATTTTTAGAAAATTATATTATTTTAAATATATTATTTTAGAAAATTATATTATTTTAAATATATATTAATAAAAAATATATTATTCAAAAAATATATTATTTTAGAAAAATAATAGTATTCCTGGAAAATTTTATTTTTCAAAAAATATATTATTTTAGAAAAATATATTATTTTAGAAAAAATATATTATCAAAAAATATATTATTTTAAAAATATATTATTTTTTAAAAAATATTATTTTAAAAAATAATATATTATTTTAAAGATAATATATTACTTTTAAAACTAACATATTATTTTGAAGAAATTATTATAATAATAATTATTTTAAAAGATTAATGTTGTTTTTTTTAAAAACGTTTTTGAAGAAATTATTATAATAAGAATTATTTAAAAGATTATTTTAAACCTTTAATGAATTCATTTTTAAAATATTAAGTAATGATTTTGATTTTAATAAATTTAGGTCAGTTGCAACTATAACTTGCGGCCATTTTTGACGTAAGTCATATGTTGCAACTAAGGGTTGTTTTGCAACTGTGGTTGCAACTGCAACTGTGAGTTGCAGCAAAACAAACAAATACAACTAGTCAAATTGGACCTAGTTGCATGCAACTGGAGTTGCAACCACTCCAGTTGCAGCCTACCAAACAGCCCCTTAGTGTGCTTGCTCAACCCCAACCACAGTCTGTTATTGTACAAGCTATCTTGGACTCAATCACAACACATCGTAAAGTACCGAAACCCACCAACGATACAGGACCCCTCTTTATGGACGAGGGAAGATCAACTATCTACCTAGGGGTGCGGTTGTGCCTTAAACATTTATTTTTTACAATTGCACCCAAGGACCAAACTGTCTAAAAACACTAAAGAAATTAGTAACAAATTAAATTTATCATTGGAAAGTAGGGGTGCATTCGGTCTGGATACTGCTCGGATCGCTTATCCATCTTAGATACGAATACGGATACAGATATGGATATACTTCAGATATGAATATAAATATATATGCGAATATATAAGCAGATATACATGCGGATACAAAATAAATATGAGAAAGCTAGATAGTATTGGGAAAAAATATATAGTTTGTATGATAGGAAAAAGTTCATTAATATGTTCATTACATCTGAAAAGCTAAGATTAAACATATTGATCATCAATGTTAACCTCAAATCAATAATCTAAGGATTAAAATTATCGTAATTAGGGGTGAGCATCGGTCGATTCGGTTCGGTTTTTACCAAAATTTGAACAACCGAACCGAACCGCCTACAATTCAAAACCAAACCGAACCGTTGCAAATCGGTTCGGTTCGGTTTATTCGGTTTGAAGGTTTGAAAATATGAGAGGTGAATGACATGACTAACTACAATGTGGAAGAGTAAGCTCAGATTTAAAAAAAAAAATCACACTGTAACAAATAAGATACAGATCAATACCTTCATCTCATTGCAAAACTATAACATCACAGGAGATAAGAGTAGGAACAATATTGACGCAGACAAAAGGCAAATCCATCAACTATAATACTTTGAAAAAAACTATAATACTTTTTATTGCTCTAACGTGCTTTTTTTCGTTGCTCTAAAAACAATATTGACACAGAGTCGCAGACAGAAGCCAAGGATTCTGAACTCTAACATGCTTTTTTCATTGCTCTGGAGAAATAACAATTGCATGAGTTTAAGAAAATATAACATAACAAAGAAACCTATATCTATGCACTCTTTCAGCTACAACTATATGGAATAACAACATGAACACAGCAAACAAATAGTCAGTTACAACAGAGACACAACTTGGTCAAGCTAGATACAAATCACAAGTCTAAGCGCATACTAAATCATTTTAGATGATAATAAACAGATCAAGTTTCAATCAACACAAAAAAAATGCAAATGAGTGCTTGTGTTGTTGTTCGCCATCCTATTCCTCATTGTTTGACATTCATTAAACAGATCATGGCTTCAAAAAAATCATGGAGTTCCGTCGGGTAAAAAATCATGGCTGAACCAAATTGAACTAACAAAGGATATGATAGGTTTGCATGACTTCAAAAAATTAACCAATTTACCAGTCTGGATCCTCTAAATAGAAGCTTGAAGACAAGAAAAGAAAATATAAACAAAGCTATAACACTGGTCCAGGATAAAAACGAAAATAAAATTTAAAAAAAATCCACATGATAAGAAAAGCTTGAAGACTGCGGAATAATAGATCCTGAGCAAAAGAAAAAAAATCCACAAAAAAAAAAATTTGTCTCCGAAATAATCAAATCAAATTATGTCAACATTGACTGAGAAGGAAGCTTGAAGAAGAGCAAAAGAGATCACTGAGATGTTATACCTTGGCCTCGACGACGGCGACGGGTGCGGGTGTCCCCCCAAAGCTAGAGATAGATCTTGAGCCTGATCCTGAGCCGAAGATAGAGATCCATGAAGAATTGAAGACCGCGGAGCGCTCGCGGGTGGCGGCTGTCGGTTGAGGAGAGTGAGAGAGAGAGTGAGAGAGGCGGACAGAGACTAGAGCGAGAGAGAGGGATTGAGGGAATGAGGAGCGGTGGCTGGGACTGGAAGAGGAAATGAGGTCAGGGTTGAGGGTTGGGGACGGGTTTACCAAACGGTAGGGTTTGAGAATTAGGGAGATATATTCGGTCGGTTTGGGTCGAGCCGGTTTGAAAAGTTTTCAACCTGACCCGAACCGCCCTACTCATAAAACCGCTTTTTCGGACCGGTTCGGGTCGGTTCGGTCGGTTTGAACCGAACCATGCTTAGCCCTAATCGTAATAGTATGACTAATATGTTTTCAGATATTTCAGGTACGGATCCGAATACTTCACTACAAAACCATATATGTAATCATATTCTATCAGTTATAGTGAATAACTATATATGTATCCTAACGGATACGGTTATAGATATTTTCTCAGATATGGACGTTGTTTAGCACCTCTATTAGAAAGTAAAAAGTCTATTTAAATTTCCAACAATAAAGTGTACTAAGAGGATGTCTGGGACGACTTATTTTTTGGTCAAACTAGCTTTTAGGCTAGTTTTTTCATTTCTATCTATTTGGTAAAAATACAAAATAAGTTAGCTTATAAGTCACACTTTAAAAAGCTGATATACCTCAGCTTTTGAAAAACTAATTTATAAGCCAATCTAAATAAGTTAGGTTTGACCAAACAAATGGTTATACTATCCAAACTTTGTATAATATTTTTATCATAAAAGTCAAAAGCCATTAAAAGCTACCATAACTTATATGCTTTAAAAATAAGTCATTCCAAACACCCTCTAACTACATCTCATCAAATACTAAAATTTTATAATATTATTTTTTATTTTTAGATAAATAGATACTTGCTATCTGTCTCTCTAAGGAAAATAGCTATGGAAAGGAAACCATTTACAATTAAACCCTAAAATCTCATTATTATTTGGTCATATTATTATTATTTAATTATGTTATTTAATAAAAAATTTAAAATTTATCCCTAATATATATACATATAATATTTAAAATTCCAGAAAAATTAAAAATAATAAAGATTCATTAGGCTTATGCCTTGTGCTCTTGGTTTTCACCTCTTATGGAAGACTACCTATTACCTTTCATCTTATAGCCTTTAAAAAGTATGATAATAGTATGAAAAATAATTTATTTTTATTATAATTATAATAGTATTAATAGTATAATGATTTTAATAATATTTTTTAAATTAATAAATTATAATGTAATTTAATAATTATACAATCTACTAAATTATTTACTAAAGTGTAATTAAATAATTACTAAATTAATATATAGTTAGTAATAGTATAATAATTATGCTATGTATAATATTACTACATTTAAAAGAGAAGAAATTATTTAATATACTATAATTATTTTAGTAAATTATGAATAAATTATAACAATTATTCAAACTATAATAACTAATTATATAGTTCTTTATACACAATTTCATCGTACTATTTATTCATTTAAAAAATTGTAATTATTCAAAATTTATATTGCTATACAAGTTATTTCAGTATTTTGCAGCCAAGAAAAATGAAAAACATAAAACAAAATAGATATGCTCTCATGAAAAGCACGTATAGTAGTAATAAATAGATCATGAAACATTTTCAGACAGACAAGTAAACATATACTTTGTATAATGGCAATTTTAATTCATAGTAGTTGAACTCCTTGTAAACCAAAGGTATACAGTTAATGAACCTGTGTACAACCATGATACCCAGAATCAACAAAAATGACACATGAATGCGACCATGCACAGACCACCTTTACACTCATCCAACAGCAAAAAAAGCATCTCTATTCTGGGTATCACAAGGTAACAAACTATAGAAAACATGAAGAAAAAAAAGTAAAATCCACCTACATAATGCAAAAATAAAGGGGAAAAAATCAATAAAAAGAGCGATCACAAATTTGGTAGAGCCACCTTGGGAGGTGAAATAATCATCGGGCTATCATCTGTCCAGTTCGCCTCGCCCCAATGCCACAGCATGCTCTCCCAGAAACAAAACTCCTCAAAGCAAATATTCAACCTCGGATCAGTTATATTGCGCTTCCAATGCCCATCAGCATAATTCCCCTTCTCTGCTTGCCTTCTGTCCCACTCTAATCCTGCCTTTTGCTTCGATTTCAGCAGGCAAAAACTCTGCAGATTCTCTGGCATTGCGTCATGAACCCTCCACCACCGAGCATGAGCCACATCACTTGCAAACTCCTGCATAATATCAACATTCCAATTACAGTCGTAGTCTTTGAAGCACAACCACGGCTTTAAGCCTAAGTAATGGAGGACATAAAGAATTGGCGGGTCTGCTCCAAATAATCGTATCTTTTTTGCCTTGATTTCTTCATCATCGCCCACCCAAAAATTCTTCAAGAAGTTCATGTGCCTCGGTATCCTATGCCACCATGTAAAAATCTCATTTAAATAACCCTGATCCCCACCGTTATAGGATTCTATCTCGTTTATGTGCTCCATTAAAAGATTGAAAGTACAGTTTGATGGCTCCAAAACCATCACGCCGGAATTGAACAGAGTCGCATTATTGCCTGTGGCGGTTATTTCCGGCATTGTAAATAAAAAATCGATGTTTCTGAGAATGAGGAGATCGGCATCGATGAAGATAATTTTATCATAGTCGGTGAGCTGCCAGAGGCGGAACTTGCTGTAGTTCCATTCATTGTAGGCGTCACGCTCCGCTTTCGGGTTTCGGATTCTCTGAATGGTTCGAACTTTCCACCCAGCCGCTTCTAGGCCGCTTCTATGGTGGTCGCTGATAGCTTTATCAACTAGGATGACAAGGTCACGAGTGGACCCCACCATACGAATGCTTTGGGCTGCGGTTATTGCACCACAGACATATAAGTTTGCTGAGTGAAGGATCGTTGTGTATGCTTCTCGGCGCTTAAGAGCATCAGAGAGTGGCCTCACTGAGGGGAAAGGAAGAATCAAGTGAATCTTTGTGTTACAGCCCCCCAAAAAATGTATAAGCTTCTAAAGTAGAGAAAGAGCATAATAGAAGCACAAATAGATGAGCATCAAAACACAGAGGAGTGTGTTTGATATTCACGAGTTACTAGTTCTAAGGATACAAACTAAACAAATATTTGGAAAAAAATTTAGTATAGAAATGAAGAAGCAAAAAAAGGCAAATGCATGAAAAAATGTTATACCGCTGATGAAAGTATAAAAATACAACTTGATGCATTGAATTAGATTCTCCTTCTCTGTCACACGGACATGGGAAATATGACATCAACTGATATAAATACATTCCTCTAGTTCAAATTCTAAAAGCTTGCATAATCCAATGGACGATCAGAACAATTTAAAAGAATATTTATAGTATCCCCTGCTCTAATTGGACAAGTATTAAAAAAAAGTCTATAAACTCTTTTTCCAATTAACATATTATAAGCGAACACCAACCATTCTGCAACAGTTCGTGCTAGACTGCTTGCATTTTCTTGCAGATATGTTTTACATATGGAGATCTATTATGAATGGTCCAGGTCATGCACTGGACGTTTACTATTTCAATTTATTGACATATCACTCACTTTATGGACCACCATAAAATATAAAGATGCTAACCTTATGCGATGCTAACCTTTCTGCTTCAGTTTTGCCAATTTATATCATTTTTCACTTCGATATCACAAGTTGATTTCCAAGTCACAAGTATCTAAAGAAACATCTAAAGAAAATGCTACAATGCATGCTTTGAATCATCAACTTGGAACCCCACCATGCACCTCTATAGGTATATAACCTCTCATGTTCCCAGTGTGACACGGGGGAAATGTCAGAATGTAATATCATGTGAAAGAGGAGAGACCAGCAAGAGTTCAATGGTTACTACTCATATACTCACTTAATAGCATATAGGTTCAAGTACAAAGGAGAGACCAGCAAGAGTTCAATGGTTACTACTCATATACTCATTTAATAGCATATAGGTTCAAGTGCTCATAACAAAAATTCTAAAATAAAGGTAATCCAATAGCTTACCTTCTTTGTTAAGAGGCACTGCAAGCTGGCATGAGCCAATAGGAAGCTGAAGCTTCTCTCTTAAAACTGACAAGTCTGGTCGATACAGCCAAGTATTTCCTTCTCTTATAACAAGATTCTTGCATGAGAATAGGTTCGGAATCGGAAAGCAGTCGGTAACAAAAAGCACATGAGCCTTGTAAAGGCCTTCACCAGAAGCTGCAGCAAGCTTGGCAGCCACAAGTTGCAAGTGAAATCGAGCAATATCTCTTGACCAGTTCATTGCTGTCCTATTACAAGGAAGCTTGACAGCAACAAGATCAAACTGCACTCCAAGGGCTGATACTGGTTCTGGAAGACTCGGGCAAGTTGGTACTTCTGATTCCTCTTCCTCATCAATCCATTCAGGATATAAATCCTCCCAAGTTAGATTTTTCTTAGCATATTCTAAACGAACTACAGAAGAGTGTGCTCGTGGCAATAGCTGTTGCCAGTAATTAACCTCAGTTAAGTTAAAATTTAGTAGACCGAGCTTTAGCCTTCCTCTTCTTCCATCTAGCTTTCCCATTACTTTTGATATTTGGGTCCAATTACTACCCAGATTTGACACGTATCTTGAATCTGAAACGTCTTTCTCCCAAATCCACCCAACATCTACAAGCCTAGACCTACATTCAGTAATAAGAAAAATAATAAGAAAGAAATGGGTTATGAAAACTTCATATCGTTTCCTCTTTTACAAGTTTGAAAGGGTATAAACTGCAGACAAGTAGGAACTTTTGTTTTCCAGTTTCATTCATCATAAGCTAAAATACTTCCAGTAAATTTAAGAGTACCACATGGAGAAATTAGAGGAGTTGTAAAGGACAACTATAAGGACTACACCTAACATCCAAATAATAACAAAGTTTTGATGAAAAAGCAAGCCGCATAAATTGAGAAATATCTTAATTGTTTGGATAAGAAAATCCATATAAGAAAGTCATAAATCTAAGGGACCTCCTTATTTCATTACAAATCAAGAAATTAAATAGTAGCTAAATACATAAAAGTAAAGATAGCTTACCGTTTACCAGAATGCTGGAAATGATCATTATTAATAGCTGGAGAGAAGATAAGTGTCAAAAACGTGCCACAGATGATAATAAAGAGGACGAGCTGTAGAGAACGAAATTTGCAGCTTGCGGTTTTTTCAGGGTTAACGAAGGTAACTTTGTCTGAGTCTTTAATGCCTCTGCGGTGCCTTCTTTTGCTCGCTTCATCACTAAGTCAGGCAAACATCCATTAAAAAAAATGAGTCCCCTTGGCATAGAAAAGTCCGATGGATGAAACCAACGAAAGTAAATTAATACAGGTAATTTCATGAGCCAGTATCAATAATATCATTAAAAAATTAAGAACTTGCAGGGCATAATAAAAGGTACTAAACAGATTGACCTCATAATTTTCATACCTTTGCCAATATAGACTGACAAATGACTTTGTACCACACAAATATGGGAAACATGCCAAATAGGTGCATGATGGCACCTATATTACCTCAAACACTATTTTTTTGTTAAATCGCAACATAAGAAACATGCTTTACATGCCTTCCAATTTCAAGTGGTTGCAACGTCAACAGGCAATAAGAATACATCTATTCCATATTCGATAGAGAAAAGATGGATAACTGGACAGATTGTTAAATATATTTTGATCCAGAACTTGTGTACTGGTTGCTCCAAGTTAGCTCACTGGGTAGGGTTAAATGCAAAACAAATATGTTCAGCTTGAGATCCCAATAGGGGTTCCTCCTTTAGTCATATAGGTTTCAAGCCATCCTAAAACTCCAACTCCTCTTAATAGGCCTTATGGAAAAAATATGCACACTTCGTAACAGAACAAGTGTATGTCTTTACGGCATAAAAACAGAATGACATAACCCACTGAAACAGAAACAAAATGAAATGAATTCCTTAAATCGTAAGTTATGGATTTTTTGTGCTAAAATAGGGAAGGACGTAGTTGGAAGAACAGAAAACTAGATAGTTTCCCCAATCCTTAGAGGAAACCTCTATACCAAAACATTGTGATTTAATGGATAGGAACTTTTTCATCAACTTTCAGCAGGTTAAATCCATGACCAAGATCTGACGTTCCCAAAAACATATTAACCCATGTGTTGTTGCTTGATCTCTGAAGTCTTTCAATATTTTGCCGTGTCTGATAATGATATGGGAACACAATACTGGAGCCCTTGTATCAGGCAGCAAATCAGACATGGTATTAAGAAAAGGAGGAAAATATAATATTTCAGAACATAAAATCAAGAAAGTCTCAATGAGTGATGGTTTCATTTTCTGACACGAAATCATCTAAACCCATGTTATCATGCATGTTCATTACCCTAGCAAATATACAATGAGTAGAGATAGTCTATTGCTAAGAAATATCAGACACTTTAAGACATTCTTATTAAGGTTTGTGTTGAAAACTATTTAATTTTGTTGAAGGAGATTTGAAAATAGTAATACCATTGCCTTCGAGCATAAGACTGCAGGCAAAGTACCAAGATTAATGTATGATGGGCGTAGCTTAATTAGGAAAAACTAACAAACTAGTATGCAAAATGTCTGGGACTAACATAACTTATTCAAAAGCCAAAAGAATATAGTTACAAAAAATCAAAGGGAAAAGGGAGCAGATATTAGACAACAACATCATTCAGCTCTATTAAAATATGACTTCTGTTTTCCTTTTAGTGCAGATGACAATGTTAGAATAAAAATTATAATCCCCAAACCATAACCTTACCCTTGTTTTGGTACAGTGTAAGGGAACTTTAATTTACTTATACAGTTAGTGAGACAATAGTAAACTAGATTTCTACACTACAGAAGACCATTGCCCTGTGATAATCAGATCGTTGGCACTGAAGCCAAGCCAGCAAGGAGATTATTTGTCAAAATCGGTTGATGGAGGAATTGAGTAAGGAGGTGAGACGCAAGCTATGAAGCGATAGTAAGAGTGCAATTCATCTTGGGAGAAATTCTGCATTTCATGCAAGAAACAGGTATATTCATTTGAGGCATTTCATATGGTCCTTCCTAGATACTGGTGAACTGAATTTGGATAAGGTTGAAGGCAGAAAGAATCCAGTGCACATGCTGACAAAGGTGGTTGACAAGAAAAACTCGAGCTTTTGCCTCGGTTTTAGTTCATCTCGGCTGATGATTGAATCTGAGTATGGCTAGGATTATTGACTACAGGAGTTTCAGAATAGGATATCAATCATTCTCCAAATGGGAGATTGCTGCTTTATGAAGCCTGACTTATATGTAGAATACATATCACCAAGAATTCTAGACGCCAACAGAATTCCTCCCGACTCTCCTAGACAGCAGCCGATTATTGCAATAAATATGGGAAGGGTATTTTTGTATTTTTGCCCAACAGAAAGAAACCCTATGCTATAAATATGCTTCTTCAGACGCTTATTGTTTCTAGTATCCAGAAGAGAGAAAAACAGAGACGACGGGGTGGTGAGATTAGGGTTTCAAATATTTTCATGACCTTATTGTATTCCTAGGATTTAGGTAACTACATTGATGGCTGAACCTCGTAATCGGTCTTCATGTTTTTTCTACGTTTTATGCACTCATTTTTTCATCAGTCCATCTTATTATTCCGCTGTGTTCCTGACATGAACTCTAAACTAACTCTATGTAGAACACAATGTTAAGTAATAACACCAAGTGGGACCCTTCCTCTGCTCTGCTTCTAAAACGTCCTTTAACAGTTGCAAACTGAAAATTGACTTGGGTGGGATAAATAACAGACAGGTTAGGACTCACGACGTCGCATCTGACAGGACATCGCATCTGACAGTGAGATATTTCAGGCTTAAATAAACACATAAGACAGGTTAGAACTCAAGACATCGCATTTGACAGTGAGATATTTCAGCCTTAAATAAACACAAAAGGTATCTCTGCTAATAACATGAAACAACCATTAAAAAGGAAGGGAAACAGGATATGGCTGAAATTGAACAAAAGACTAAGATGTATCTAACTAATGTAACAGGAACCGAATTGTGCCATAGGAAACTAATTGCCATGAATATGGCATTAAAGCTTGGTATTTCCAGATCTATGTATAACTAGTTAACATATAACAACGTTAACATTTGAAGAATGAATAATAATAATAATAAGGCCCTGAAATGAAAAAGAAGTATAACAAAAATATCCTGTATTGAAGAAGTCAATAACCCACAAACAAAGAGTACAAAACAGAGATGAACTTGTAAACTGAGCAACTACTCGGACTCATGTTCCTCTCATTCCCTTACCCCGCTCGTGAATCCTACAGAGTATTACTGATGGTTTACATATAGCAATCACAGGTTGAAAAGGAAAAAAGGCAGATCAAAGTGAAGAGTTAGCAAATTAAAGAACTCACAAAGACGCCGAGGTTCTATACCTCGACTCCATTGAAATCGGAGAACCGCCCTTCATCCCTCTCATATTGAACCTGCCACAGCAAAACTCGTTATTTGGTCCCCAATTACAACGAAATCCATACTCATCTTAGACTGCGTACAGTAATAATCAACTTTTATATAAATAGAGATCTAACAAGATTAAAGTAGCTCCACGATAATAGTTAATCTCTAAAACACTGGAAACATACCATAAAATAGTATAACATCACAATATTGTGCATACACTAGAATAGGAGTCAATGGGGATGAACTTTACCTTGAATGATGATTCAATCAATGACGAAATTGTCAATAAATGAATAGTACAGACGTGGTGGGTAAATAAATCAGATCAATCAAAGGTACCCATGACACCCACTGGGGTGGAAAAACCAAGAAATAAAAAATAAGAAATGCTTGCTGAGATTCAATAATAATTGGGAAACCAAGCAAGACCCAAAAACCAAACAGCAAAAAGGAGCTGGTAAATAAACTTTTTATGATGGAAATGGCAGCGAAAAATCCCAAGGCTGAATGAAAGTCCAAAAATAAACAAAACCCAAGTGGAAATCTAGATGAAAATTCTAAAAGACAAAAGGGATTACCAGATTTTGAGGGTCCTTCTCTGCTGTTTTTCTTTCTTCGTCTGTTTGTATATCTTTCCTTTTTCCTTCTTTTTTTTTTCCTCCCCTTTTTGGGTGGAGATATATATCTGAGAGAGCGATAGGGTCGCTGAGCAGTCGGTAGGAGTGTAAGAAATTTTTGCAGCTTAGACAGTGGGAGCCGGTCCAAATGAAGGAACGAGGGTAGAGAAGGAAAGCAATTAATTAGTTATAGTGCAAATCTAAATACTGTATTTTTATGGAACTTCCAATAAATGCAGTTGTTTAATTAAGGGTAAATTACACTAAAACCCGAAGAACTTTCAGCATTCTGAATTAATCCCCAACAACTTGCAAAATTGCACTAAATTCCCAACGGCTTTTGCATTTTTGCAGAAACTTCCCAATAGGTTTCTGCATTTTACATATAACCCCCATAAATTAAAACAAAAAATATATATATAAAAAGACATTTTGAGAGTTGTTGGGGTTTAGTGTAATATACTCAAAATATATTGGGAATTTTCTGTGAAAGTTATTGAGAATTTAGTGGGATTTTGTGAGTTATTAGGAGCTCAATGTAACATGCTCTTTACCTAAGTTTAGGAGAAAATCCTATAGATATAGAAAATCATGTAAGGAGAAAACAGATTGTGAAATATATTCCTTTATTAATTTAGAATTATGGTTTTTTTTTCATAAGAACCACCTTTTAAAATAGTGTAAATCAATAGACATTAGTACCTCCGAAGCTTTTTTTTTACACAAAAAACTATCTTACAAGTGAATTTAGCTTTCACTCAACCACTTTAGACAATTTATGCTCAATTTTTTCCCGACCTAAATAAACCTGCGACCCTACCTCTACCCTTCTCCATTCTCCCTCCTCATCCACCATACTTTCGCCATGTTCTTCTTCCGTCCCATCTCCACCGTCCCCCTCCTTTGCCCATGGTCATTTCACCTCCATCTACTCTCCTCTCTCCTACTCTGCCGCATCTTCTCCCCCCTCTCTCCTAATTTCTAGTTTACCTTCTCCCTTCCTTATCACTCATCTTTTTTTAATCTCTTTTCTCTCACCTCACCCTTTTCCTTTTGCGTGCCTCATCTTAAACGTGGTTTAAACAGAGTAGGAGAGTGGAGGTAGGATTGATGAAGAGAAAAAATGGAGGAAGGTGGAAATGAGGTAGAAATAGTTAGGTTAGATGAGGAGGAAGAGAGAAGGAAGGAGATTATTTTCGATAGTTAGGGGGTGTTTGGTTACATTTCTATAAATTATAGGAAATGTTTTCCATCCTAAATTTGATTTCCTTGTATTTCTTAAAAAAATTATAAGAAAAGTTTTGAGAAGTTAAAAAGAATAAATTTTCTTATTTTTTTTATTGTGCTTGTTAGGTTCAAAACAAGAAAATGAGAAATAATTTTTGGGAAAATAGCAACATTTCCTATAATTTATAGAAATATAACCAAACACCACCAACTTTATAGAAAAGTGAGAACTTTGTAGAAAAGAGTTAATGAGTTTTATTATTTAAATAATGAATGCGTCAGATTTCCAAGAGATTTCCTCCCATTTTAGAAGGAAATCAATTTCCATAAAATTTGGTACTTTTGGGCACTTTATAGAAAACATTTCTCTAAATTTTTTTGGAGCCAAACACAGTTTATAGAAATGTATAGAAAACTCTTAATTATATAAATGCCATGCGTCAGTACTTTTGAGAAAACATTTCTCAAAAACAATGCAACCAAACACCCTCTTAGGCTACAAATGGAACAATAATTGCCCTAAAGTAGTTGATTCAAAGTTTAACCCATTTAAGATGGTTTTTGAATCAAACTATAAAGGGTTTGTACTTGAAAACCGCCTTAATTTTTGCCCAAAATAATATTTATCACCTTTTCTTTTTATTTTTGATCAAACACATCTTTACTTGCATACGTGTTTGCAATGTCACACCAAATCAAAATTTTAGCTAAAAAACACCCGAACTTCTGAAAACCCCTCATTCAATGCATGCGAAGCAAGTTTTCCCAATTAATTATAAAAAATAAAGGTTTTTTAATTCTTTCATATTTTGATATTAACCCCCCAAATCTATCATATTTTGAAAGCTAGTCCCTTGAATTAATATCTTCCTTGCTGGAAAGGGTATGGGGAGGTTGAGATCGTAGATTTTTTGCTCCTTAGATACGATTTTTGGGGCTTTATGTTGGATTGGAGGATTGCAGAGAGAGAAAATTAAAGGGAGGTGACATTAGGGTTTGGGGAAGATCAAGGGAGGTTTTCTTGGATTAGAGAGAGGGAGGAAGGGAGGATCGAGGGAAGGTAAGGTTAGGGTTTGGGAATTGAGAATTAGGGTTTTGGGGATTGGGCTACAGTTTGGAGATTTGAGTTTGGAAATACAGTGCTATTTGAGAGAGAGAGAGAGAGAGAGAGAGAGAGAGAGAGAGAGAGAGGTGGAAATACAATGCTATTAGAGAGAGAGAGAGAGAGAGGAGTTGAGGGTCTAATTTCAAAATATGAAAGATTTGGAGGACTGATATCTAAAGGACCCTTAAGTTTGTAATTATAAAGAAAAACATGCTTTATATGTGCCTTAGGTTGGAAGTAAAATGGGAATTTCACACCTTTTTTCAACTGAAGATTCGATTAGGTGTAACATTGAAAATATGTAAAAACTCAATTATAAACTCTGAAGCTATTTCCTATAAATTTGTTTTTATGAAAAAAATCTCTTAAATTACAATAGTCAGCAATTAGAGTAGGGTAAATTAGATTAAACCTCAAGAGCTCTCACCATTTTCTAGTAACTCTACTATTTGAAATCCCACTAAACCCCTAAAACTTTCAGTGTTTTGCAATAAACCTATAACAATTTTCATAAGTACACTAAACCTCCAAAATTAACACTATTATAACTGACATGACGTGTGCAACTCACATGACTTGAAGACCAAAATATCCCTGATTTTTATTTTAAAAATAACCTTATGGCCTCTTTTATATTTAAACTCTAATAACATAAATCTCTCGTCATTTGTCATCCGTTCTCCCTTGCTCCCGCTTAGGATTTGGTCCTGAACCTAACGTTTTTATTTATTTATTCATTTTTGCTAGATTTGTCCTTTAAATGCCCTTTTATGTTGTTTTTGGTTCTAGCTTATGGGGTTATCTTCAATTACCTTTTTTGCAGGTTTTTTACAATTCTAAAAGTTATTAGTAGTTTAGTGTGACTTCGGAACTCACTGGGATGCACTGCAAAATGCTGAAAAGTTCTTGAAGGATTAGTTTGATTTTGAAAATTATTTAGGGTTTCTTCCAAAACAATAAAAGTTCTTTGAGGTTTAAAATTTACTCATTAGAATATTATATTAGTTCCATCAAGAATAGAAATTTAAAAAAAAATATTGTACCTTATCATGATCTCTCCTCCCATGGAGTTTTCTTTAGCGGACCTTGTATGTAATTTGTGTTGAGCGTTGTGGAAGCCAAACAACCAAACCAACGTGCTACGAGAAATCAAATCAAACGAACGTCGAGAGAAGGCCAAACGAACCAAATCAATGTAACAAACACAAACAACCAATTTTAACGTGGTTCAGCAAGTTGCCTACGTCCACGGAGAAAGAAGGGGATAGGGTTTTTCACTAATAGAGAAGAAGAGTACAAACTGAGATTACAAATCACTCAAACTCACCAACAAATCTCTAATTCTCTCCAAACAAAATCCTAACCAATAGCTCAGAAAATATCTCCTTTTCTGTGCTCCAAATATCCCTAATTTTCTTCTCAATTCTCTCTTCCAATTGTTCCATATATATATAAATCCTAAAATCATAAACATACTAAGAATTCTAAAACAAAAAACAAAACATATTAGGAATCCTAATAACCTGTTACCAAAACAGATTTGGAATCATGTTACCAAAACAGTTTAGGAATTCCAATAACCTATTACCAAAAAAATTAGGAAACATATTAGGAATTTGCTATCCAACAATTCTCCACCTCGGCGAAGTTTTTCCAAAACTGAGCCGACACCAATACCAACCAAACGTCTCACTTATTGCGTCCAGTACGAAGTGGAACAAATCCACGACAACAGACTCAATTCACAACAAGTCGAGAACCCAAATGAGAATACAAACAAACTCCAAATATTAGTATCAACTCACCAAAGCGGCTGCATCATAAATGACTGCCTACGTATCCTCTTGCCCAAGGAATCAAGCCTTCACGTAGTTCACCCAAACGGCCTCTAAAGACCCTCTATCAAATAGAAAAGTTTACAACTCTTTACCAATATCACCAATGGATCTGCAACTGATAGCGCTCCCAATGGCCCCAAACTAAAACAAATCAAACACCTCCACCTAAGGTGAACCAATGGTCGTATCCAAAAAATGTCCACCAGCTGCACTCGAATCCAAAACCAACTCTTCATCCACATCCAAATCCAAATTATCTCCAAACTATGTCACCTCAGCGAGAATCCTAAACGATGCAGTATGATCTGGAGTATGTGGAGTAATCTCCACCCAATATGAAGTAGTATCACCCTCCACCCGCTATGATATCTCAATGATCTGATCAACACTCTCCACCTACCGAGAGTCAAATGTGACATACCTACTCAGAACAAAATCAGAAGCTCCTAACTGATAATCAAACAAACATCTGAATCTCAAACATGCAATCGGATCAAATCTCACATCCTCGATGTGACCAAATGTTGGGCAACCAAATATCCGACGTAACCTAAAATCTAAAACAGCTCCACCAGATCCAAAATCTCCATACGCAGCAGTCGGCAACCTATGACCAAGATGACCCAAATATGTCGAAGCTCCAAAACCAAAACCAATGCTCGACAACCAATGTCGATCCTCCTCCAGTAAGGAACG